ATCTCTTGAGGAGAGCTGTTCAAGAATTTGCAGATACTAAGACAGTGGAGGTGAATTAGACACCTCATTAAGCATTAAGCATTTTGAAAACACCCGAGAAGAAAAAAGATAAGAATAATTTGGGGCTGTGTTAAAAGATCTAAAGGTCATTAATAAAGCTAGTCAATTAAGCCATAAGATATGCTACTTGTGGCTGTTAGTTTCTGTAAGTATTTATAATCTTTTATGAGATAATATTAAACTGCTTACTTCCTGGTCATAAGAAGGTCACAAAACAGATAGGAAGGGAAATTACACATGCAAACTCACTGAAGCTTAAGATTTGGGAAAATCAGTTTATGATATACCTTTCTTTTCTGCTCTTCCCACCCAAATTAGTATCAACTTGATATTCCTGAGAAGGTGTAAGCTATTAAGTTAGACTCAGCTTGGTCTTCCCTCTATGCCAGGAGTCACATGCCAATTAGGCTCAGTTCTAGGTGGATGCAGCATACTGAAAAAGGGTGGAACTTCTCCAGTCACCCTTTCCATTGGTTCCTTAGCTTCAACAAATAGCAAATGAACTGTCTATCTAAATAGCTGGAATTGCAGATTATATTTTCAACTAAATTCAGTCTACTCAATATGACCAAAGGGCTTTAAGGAAGTCTATCCATGGACCCAAACTGGAAATAAGGACAATGATGTGAGTTCAAGTAGAACAAAAAAAAGGAAAGTGAACACACATTATTGTTTAACATTTTTGTCATTTTGTAAACACAAATAAGAATGATCTAATCATCCATGGCCTAATGTTGTTGCTCCTCTTAAATTCTAAATTCAAAAGGATTCTATCTACTTTCTCTTGAGTTATTAAACAGAAATGACACACATATATCCAATATATAGCCATGTAAATTCTCTCTCTCTCTCTCTCTCTCTCTCTCTCTCTCTCTCTCTCTCTCTCTCTCTCTCTCTCACACACACACACACACACACACACACACACAAAGGTCTAGGGTGAGAACAGATTATCCATTAATCAGGCTAAAAGAAGTGTTTCTAACAAAGTGGATAGGCCACAAAGGAAGAAAATAATTAAAAACTGAAGCTGAGGGAAGGCTGTGAAAAGACTCAACCAACCTAAAACAGAACAATAAGACACATATAATAGGAAACCTATGAATCTTCAGATTGAAATTTTGGGATAGTGTTAAAATAAAGCAAAAAGAAATTCATTCAAAAATTATGTCTGAAGAAAAAGTCCAGGACCATCAAGGTTAATGTCTTTAAAGTTACCCTCTTTAACCTTAAGTGGAGGTTAAAATCAAAAGTTAGGTAGAAACCCCCACCCAGCAACAAATAAAATGAATTTTCCTATGTGCTACAGTATTGTACATTTATGACTTTACTCAGTGACCTCTAAGAAAAGAATTCTATGTTGCCCACGCCAACTACCTCAGAAATTTTCTACCAATGGTTAGAGCTGGCACTTGCATGATCAGAGAAGGGCCATGTCAAATGAACATGGATCAGATCAGGTGATTTCCACTTAGTAGCCCCTATGTCTCGGAATACTTTGGATAAAATGTAATTGTCTTTAAAACTGAAGAAAGCCTGGGTGAAAGCCCTTTCATGTTTGGGTAAATGAATTATTAATAACTGGTTTCTTGACCACACCTTATCTATAACAGTCCTCCATTCAAACATCTACATAGTTAAATTAAGCCAAACATTTCAAAGCACACTTCCACAACAGTCAAGATTTTGCACTAGAGGAAAAAGAAACAAAAAAGGCAATCACTGTTTATTGTTCATGAACTGACTTTCATATGTATGCAGCATATGACTTTCATACGTGTGCAGACAGGGCAGCAGCAGCAGAGCGGCAATATGGGAGAAAACTTTTTTTTTTATGTTCTTAAATGTTCACTGATAGGGAATTTGACAAAGGGATAACACTTCTGATTCCGTAAAACCAGAATGGATACTGATCTTATTTTACAGTATTGCCTCGTGGTATCTTTATAAAATATGTTCACAAGTTAAAACAGTATCAGCTACAGATGGATTTAATTTTGGTAAAACCAATGGAAAAAGGTCTATGTTAATGCAACATTTGCTGTAGAGATACCAGAAACACATGAGTCAAAAATTTCAAATTACTATTCCCACAGTAACTATAACTGCTATACAACATACATAATGAAAGAAATGCTATCAACATATACCACAGTGGAAAATACTCAGTAAGCAGAAACAAGCTGAGTTATGCTTGCTGTGGGAATCATCATTTTCAACTAGCTAAGGATATATAAAAATTGAAATCATAAATATATACATTACTTACGTATTTAATTCTAATTTTTCTTGATCCAATTTAATCAGCTTTGCATCCAAACTACATTTCCCTTTCTTAAATTGTAAATGAATCTGTTTTGTAATTTTCAAATCCACATCATTTGGTTTCTTTATCACATGCAAGCCACCTCTGCAAGATGGCTTCATTACATACAATCCCTCCCCCCAAAAGGTCAAAACCTGTCTGCTGGGACCCATTTATCTATATTCCGTTTCTCCCTGAAGGGTACCACAGGGGAGGAGAAAAGGAATGCCAAAGAGAACAAAATCACACCAATCTGCTCAGAATGGTAGAGAAGAGCAAATGAAAGAAGGATACTAGAACTATTCCACAGACTCCTATCTTCCTAAGCAAAAATAAAACCACCACCACCACCAAACATTTACAATTTCCAAAGTGTTCTGTCACATAACATTATCTCATAAGACCCTCATAAGAACAGGCAAAAAGAAGACAATTTTCAGTTGTTCAGCTTTGAGCCAAGTAGACTGTATTTAAGAATGTGCTTTTAGATTACAATTTAAAGTCTGGGCCACTTAACAGCACTGAACAGCATTACCCACTTACCACATGGAGTGATTCACTTATTATTGAAGGCAAAATACACTTTATGTAAAATGATGATGGTTATAAATTAAACATTTAATGTATTTCAAGACTTTTACCTTATCTATATTCTAAAAATGTAATAATGAACAAAAAGAGAAATGATTACCCTTGGAAATTTTGCTTGCACAAACTTAACCCTACATATTACATCTAATATTGTCTTTTTTTTTTCCAGTTTGGTTTTAACTAAGAACTTCCAAAGAGAATTTCTTTTCCTTTTAAGCAGTCTTTAACATCAGGGTATATGTCATTATATTCAAATTAAATTTACTTTGGCTCAAGAATGATCATATTTCTTTTATTTTTATTCTAAGTAGCTCCACTTCACTGTAGTGCTTATGATGTTACATTAATGTATGGAGGATGATGGGTCAACTTTTTGTCTTCTCATGTAACTAATGATCCAACTGTTTTGGTTAAATTTTTCCTTCTATCCCTTTCCATGGACAAACATATTCTTTTTTCAGATAACCAAATAAAACTGTTCATTCTTTCTTTGTTTAATACACCAAAAGGAAAAAAAATATCATCAAAAAAGGGGCCAGGAATAAAAGGGGCTCAGCAGTACAGCACATGCCTCGAATGTATGAGGACATGGGTTCAATTCCAGGCACTGAAAAAGAGAAAAGAGAATCAGTGAAAATGAATATTCAGAGCTGGCAACAAACTTCAATATAATTTGTTCTAACTTGGGAGATAACACAGTTAATTCTGAGCCTATAAAAAGTGTGACCATTTTACATGTAAATAGAGGATAATACTTTAAAAGCTAAAAAAATTGATCCTAAGGAATATAATTTTAAAAGGTTATCATATAGAGGAAGAATGGTTTTCTTAATGACAGAATAGATCTTATAATGAATAAAAACTATTAGAATAAGTTCTTTTATAACAGTAACATAAAAACATATTCCATGGAACAACAAACACTCAAGATCTAAGGGTTTTCCCCTTTATATACAAAGTTTTTAAGGAAAAAAAAACAATAGATTGTGCTGCCAGCAAAATAACATTTTCAGTTAAGACAGAACTGAAAATGACTGGTGAGCTAAATAATCAGCAAGTGATATAAGCTCCCACTTCTTGTCTAACAAAAGTAAGGGGTGTGCATAAATTTTTCCAGAGTCCACCTACTTTGAGATTATCTCAAGAAAAGTGTGGATTCAATCAACAGGAAAGATTTACAAAAGAATGAAATAATGTCTCCTTCCATTAAGAAAAAATGAGGAGGAAATAAGTAATTCTGGAGAATCACAATGTTCAACATAAGGGGCTTTCAAATTCCCCCAAATTTGAAATTTTCCAGGTAAATTAATTGATACTGGAGGCCATAGATTTAAGAAACCATTTCTCTAGATACAAATATAATAAAAGCTGCAGAATTCCATGAATGACAGTAAAATATAAACACATTAAAGAAGAGCTGGGGATGTGGTTCAGTGGAAAAATGCCTGCCTTAACATTTAAAGTCAATAGCTTTTTCTTTTCTTTTTTTTTTTTTTGGCTTGTTTGCTGATTTTTGTTTGTTTGTTTATTCTCTTTTACTGAATCTCCATGAGATACAATTACAAAACTCTCATGTTTGAGGTTCAGTCATACAATGATCAAACACCCATCCCTCCACCATTGGCACATTTTCCATCGCCAATGTCCCTAGTATAACACCCTCTTTTCAATCCTCTACCTTCCTCGATGGCAGACAATTCCTTCACTTTTGGGGATTATGGTAAAGTCAACAGATTTTTCTTTCCTGGTTCCTTCAGCGGTGTTGAGGAGCGGGGGTCAGGGGTCAGGTTCAGTGACCCTCAGCTCGGAAGTGCTGAGGGTTCAATGTTAGAGTTCAATGCTAGCAATGTAGTGCTGGTCCAAGTGGTGCTGGTGGCTATTGGGGCCACCTCAATGGTGCTGAGGGCAGGCAGCATGAGTTGCCAGGAATTGAACTTGGGGCCTCATTCATGTAAGGCATGTACTCTAGACCCTTCCACTATTTTCGCTGACCTTAACATTGTCTTTTCTCTTGTCCAGATGAAAAAATTGGTAGAGGAAAATTGTTATTTTTCAGGAAAGAGTAAGTATATTCTAATATCTTGCCTCACATTACAACATATAAAAACACAAGTGTTATTTAATGCCATTAAGTACACGCATTCATAATTACTTATAGAATCAGATTTATTCGAATTTAGTTTCCATATGCTTTTTTTGCCAGCTTACAACAGAAGCAATGTATTCTTTAAAAAGACATAATGACAAAATATCCAAGGCTGTCGTCTTCCACACTGTCTTCATAGATCCTTGTGTCTAGAAAATGAACTTCATATGCTTAATTCCATAAGTTTTGAAGAAAACCATGATAATGAGTGCCCACAGTCCCAAAATAAAGCCCCCTGGAGGATGCCAATCTTTCGGCTTTGGTTTCTGCAAAACAAAGGCAAAAGAGTAAATTTAACAATGGCTAAGTCAGTATTGGTGGAAAATAAAAACTTCAGGATTGTAACTAAATGAAAGATATTGGGCTATGTTTGGCTATATTCAAACTATTTTGGTTTAAGAACAATCATACTTGTTTGCTTTATGCCCTATCAAGGTCACGAGTTGCCCCCCACAACCAGCTCTCCGGCACAGCCATGGCTCCAGAGGCAAAAGGACTTAGTCCAGAGTCCGGCAGCTTGTGGCAGAAAAGTGAATGGACTATGTGTTAAACTACGGCGCCATGACTCCCCGGGAGGGAAAGGATGTTTCTCCCTTCCGCCTACCCCCCTCCTTCCCCACCAGAAGCAAGGTGGCCACCAACTCAGAGCTTATTGGAAAGCCAGGTATGAGCTGGTGGTGACGGGGGAACTGCAGCCTCATGGGAAGGGGGGCAGTACCAGCTCATCCTTCATGCCCTACCAAGGTCACGAGTTGCCCCCCACGAACGGCTCTCCAGCACGGCCATGGCCCCAGAGGCATAGAACCAATCTCTTAATTATTTGGCTCTTGACAGAAATCCCTCCAGACGTAATTAGTAAAATATCAGAAATACAAAATCATGCGGCCACAATGGTGGCTGCACAACATCATACAGTTCTCATAACCAGCTATAGAAAACAAAGTCTTTCACAATGCCTTTTCAGCAGTTCTGATTTTTGGGTGGAAACTCTAAACAATAATGGTGCATCTTTTGTTGAAATAATGAATGTAATCAATGTAGAGAGAGAGTTAAGTAGAAATCTGCCTCACTGGCATTGGGAGGGTTGGGGGGGTACATTGGGGTTCTTGGTTTTGAAAAATAAGTACTGGTGAAGGGAAAGGTGTTTGATCATTGTATGACTGAGACTTAAACCTGAAAGCTTTTTAAATTTTCCCACAGTGATGCAATAAATAAATATAACAAAACAAAAAGAACAATCATACTTGTTTAACACTCTTCTGTGTAGCTCCACTCCACCTTAGCAACAAGAGCGAGAATTTCAGACAGGGCATGCACTGCAGTGTTCTTCAACAGATCAATTTAGCTGACATTCCTGCATAGGGTCTCCTGAGTACCCTAACCTACCTAATCATCTCTTATTTCTCTTGTTCCAAACTTTTCACCTTGAATTTATATTTATTGGGCTGGAGCGATAGCACAGCAGTAGGGTGTTTGCCTTGTGCACAGCCAGCCCAGCTGAGCCGGGCTCGATTCCTCCGCCCCTCTCGGAAAGCCCAGCAAGCTACCGAGAGTATCGCCCACACGGCAAAGCCTGGCAAGCTACCCATGACGTATTTGATATGCCAAACACAGTAACAAGAAGTCTCAAAATGGAGACGTTACTGGGCCTGCTCAAGCAAAATTGATGAACAACGGGAGGACAGTGTTTGACAGTGTTATAGTTATATTTATATTCAAATACCCATTAGTTGACTGGTTTTATCTGTTGCTCCTGTTAGGCTCCATGAAGGGTCTGCTGTTAAAATCCTAGCACCACCAGCAACATTGGAGACAAATGCTACTTGTTCCATTTACTCAGATAACAAATACTATGTATGGGGGATGCAGGAGGGTCAACATTGTTGGTCATCAGGTTTCTCCTTTGAGGAGTTTGTTTCTTATGTCATTCTGGGAATTCTGCCTATTCAATATTTAGGAACATTCAATATTTAGGAACTTATAACCTACTTACTCCTTAGAATACTTCCAATTGCTAGTGTTCTTGGACTCCCTAGCCATTTCTGTTATTCACATCTACTATAGTTATCTTTCACCCAGCTTTGGTAAACTGATGGCAAAATATGGCGCCAATCCTCCATACTTATCTGAGTGTACACCCTTGTATATCTGACTTTATAATCTCTGTCATCAAGAGGTGAATTCCTATCTTTGTTTCATCAGTCAGTTGATGTTGTTACTTTTTTGTTTGTTTGGGGGGTACACCTGGAATTGTTCAGAGCTTACTTCTGGCAGGCTCAAGGGACCATGCAGAGTGCCAGGGATCAGAACCAGATTGGATGTGTGAAAGGCAAATGCCCTACACATTGTACTATCTCTCCAGCCACTGACCTTATGACTTCTTTTGTACACCTCAAGAGAATATGCTTTCTTCTAATTTCTCTCAGTCCCCTGCTACCACCGTAAGAAAAGAAATATAGGCAAGGCTATTAAATTTAAAAAAAGACACTACAGAGAGAAGCGCTAAGGACTGTGCCAACAACTAACCAACCCCCAGAAGCAGAACCATCCAAGCAATCTAAGCTGACCACATATTCAGGCAGAAGCCCAACTGAGAAAAGACATGTGTAGTTAAATTCAGTCAAAATTTCTGTCTGGACATAGAAAGATTGCATTCATCTGGGGAACATAAAGTAACAAAATAGGAGACTAACGCCCAAGAATGGTCAAGATTAGTACCAGGAATTTTACTCCATGGCTTGGAGGCCAACCACACATGCTAGGGGAAAAGGGAGCTCAGATAGAGAAGGGAACACCAAATAAAGGGTATTGGGAGGATCCTCCCAGGATGGGAGAAGCATGCTGAAAGTAGACTATAGACCAAACATGATTGCCACCCATTGCCTCTTTTGCAAACCACAACACCCAATAAGAGAGAGAGAGAACAAAAGAGAATGCCCTGCCAGAGAGGCAGGGTGGGATGGGGGAGATGGGGGGTGGGAGGGATACTGGGATCCGTGGTGATGGGAAATGGGCACTGGTGGAGGGATGGGTATTTGATCACTGTATAACTGAAACCCAAGCACAAAAATTTGTAAGTCTACAACTGTACCTCATGATGTCTCACTAATATAAATTTAAAAAAAAATTGTTAGAATTAAACAAAAAAAAATTTCCATCTGGAGAATTATGAGCTCAATAAATGACTGAAGTTTTAACCACTAAGTTTTTAAATGGTACATTATGCATCAAAAGCTATGAAATGCATCTATTGAGGAGACAATGTAGAAGGAAAAGTCCTGATGCTCTGCCATCATAAGAAAACAGGAAATGTTTCTAATTTTTAATTCTATATTGATTTTTAGTTCAAGGAATCCAATATATATGGGCCAAGAACATGAAAACAACATTTTTTTCAAAGACATACAGATGACTAAAAGGTATATGAAAGGGTGAATAGCATCACTAATCAGGGAAATGTAAATGAAAATCGCAATGAGATAACACCTCATACCTCTTAGAATGGCTTTTATTTAAAAAAGAGAGAGAGAGAAAGAGAGAGAGAGAGAGAGAGAGAGAGAGAGAGAGAGAGAGAGAGAAAAGAGTCCCAAATGTTGCTGAGGTGGTAGAGAAAAGGGAAGTAAGTTCTAAAAAAACTACCAGATAACTTAGCAATTCTGTATTTATGGATTTATTCAAAGAATACACTATATTGAAAAAGATATCTGTACCCCATCTTTATTAAACATTATTTAAAATGGCCAAGATTTGGAAACCACCTAGGTGTCTACTGAAGCATGAAAGGATAAAGTAGGCACACTTACATACAAAAATACACAGGAATCTACAGGCGTAAAGAAAAAGAATAATTTTGCCATTTACAACAACATAGATGGACCTTGAGGACCCCCACGTGAGGTCAGTCAGAAAAAATAAATCACTAAATGTGATCTCATTTATACATAGAATCGAAAGAACAAACACACAAAACCTGAGCTCACAGAAACAGAGCTGATTAGTGGCTGCCAGAGGGGGCATGGGAAGGTAGGTTAAAGGTAAACGGGACCAAAGTCACAAACTGGGGGCTGTAAAGATAGGAAAGATGGTAGCTGACCCTGTCAATCCCTGACACCACTTAGTCCCCTGAGCACTACCAGAGTGATATCAGGGCACAGAGCTACATAGGTCCTAAGCATCACTGAGTATAGGGATAAAAAACAAAAAAGTTTACTTGAATCTGCATTTAATCTTCTTTTCCAAATTAGATGGACTGCAATGATACAGTTTAGTACTAGCTATCTTTAAGAAAAAGTAACATGAATAGTGTGACAGCAATATCATATAATGAAGTGCTTTTCAGTATGTGTTTAATGATATTCCTGTATATAATAATATTCCTATTTTTAAAACAACTGTAGGTAATATTTTAGCCATTCTGCAGTGATTTTACTTACAATCAAGAGACAGATTGGTATAATTATTGCATTTTGTAGTACAGCTACATTTGAGGTAAGCTCATATTAAAGCATAGCTTGTAATTTCATTTGTGTCCATATTAAAGCTTCTCATAAAATGACTGATTTTATGGAGTTAAGGTACTCAACAGACTGCTATTAAATACACTCTTCTTTTTTTAACCTTTCACAATAATAGCTCTAATACAAAGGTGAAATGCATACATAAAACACTGCAATCCGTCATGAGCAAACACTTAAAGCTTAAGGGCAAGCTATTATTGAAATGCCTAATATTTCAAATTAAAAAGATAGGTAGCTAAGCAACAATGTAATTCCAATTGTGAACTGTATTCAGTATCCCCCTTCATGTTGCTAGGAGAACATTACCGCAGAACTTTAAAATATATATTAAAATTACATAATGGGAGAAGCTAAGGATTTTCTCAACTGTGCATGTTTATGAGAAATAAGTGGAAAATTTCCAAGGTTTCACTGAGAAACCTTTATTTCAAAATAAATAGAATAAATCAGTACTTATAGACTATTTTTTAAGGCAAGGAAACAGGATATACTAAGGCTACAGTTATAATTACTTATTTATATAAGAAATTCTTAATTATAATTTCTTTTCAACTAATCAGTGGAATTTGTTATTACTTCCAGATTATTAACATTTCTATAAAATATAAATTGTACTTTTCCAATTAGTAGCATGTCACCAAAATTTTGTCACCCTTTCACCCCAAGATGCTGTCTCCCTGATATGCACACCCTGTATTATCCCTTTCTTTGACTGTGAAAACAGCCTGTGAATATGATGGGCTAGCATT